CATAATGATGACTGGCAGATAATTAGTTATTAGCAGTACTGCATTTTAATTTTAGAAAGTGCGAATCTGGTTATGAATTATAAAAATTAGTAAGACCGCTAAAGTGCAAACAAAATATTTAGGTCTGCAATTAGCGGATTTATGCTTTAGTGGGCTGGTGCCCACCACTGGTGTTCTGTATGTGATGATCTGAACTGCCGACTAATGGACCAAGTACTGACGCTAGATATTTGGAAACACTGTAAGTGACAGAGCTAATCATGCTAACAACAGGTGTTACCGTACATGGATTTTGGGTAAACCATAGAAACCAGGAGTGGCCTCACCTGGGTACAGTGTGTTGTACAGATGGCGGTTAATAGCCTTGTCCTGCTCTAACTTTTTCAGGCACTCTAAGTTTTAAAACTTAATAAAATGGTGTTTATACAAATCATACAGAAATTCTTCTGAGATTTACATCATGTTTTTCATTCAGGATGTGTTATCAGCAGTCTTGTTTCAACTTGAGGTTTGCAGGTAACAAAAACAGAACAGTAAAGTCAGGAGACGTGGGTGAATTTTTTGAAAATTAACACTCATCTATAGGATTCCTAAAATAAACAATCTCTGTATCTCTTATCCAGCACATACAGAACAAAACAACGAGTTTTCACGCTGTAGTCACCTCATTCAAACTTTTATGTTTTTTAATGAAGTATTCTGAAATCTAGCAACCCACCATCCTGTTTTCTTTTTCATCTTTAGAAACGCGTATTTTGTTAAACCTGTGGGTTTCCCCAGTGAAGCTGCTGAGGTTAGAAATGGAAAATAACCAGAGATACAAAATCTCAAAACCAACTGAAGCTCAAGAAAGAAACAGTTTGACACACTGGCTTCTTGAGGAGCTACAAGAGCAACAAACTCACCTGTAACAAAACAAGTCTGTGAAACCTATTAGATGTAAGTATGTTTTACTGCACCTAAGTTATTATCTTTTATTGTTGTTAAGAAACAAAGTGGGTTATTTGATGTGATGTTTGACTTCTTGTTCACTGCACCAGCGCATTAAAGAATTACTGTAAAGTCTGAAAACCAATCCACCAGTGGAACTCGTTAACCGGGTTGTGGCGGAGCAGTGGTCAGCACATTTTTTCAACCTAAAATCTAAGCTGAATGTTTCACTTGATGTTCTGCAAACAGCAGCAGATTCATGAGAGCAGGCACACAGCACAAGTGACTGTTTCTGTCAGCTGAACCGTTGTGGTGATAAAAAACAGGTAAWATAAGTAGGGCACACAAAGCACTGACACAAATGTTCAAAGCTTCTGCTTCACCACTAAACTAGGTTAGTGACCTGTTTCAGATGCATGACTCACATGATAAAGATCACTCCAGACAGAAATAAGTCACCAAACAAGGTAGAGCTCTGGAGAAAGCATCACTAAATTGTATCTCACWTTCTGGTGAGTTTTATCTAAGTTGGTTTGAGATATCTGCTATAAAATGTGTAAAATACCTGATAATATTCATGTTTCCTGAAGTTTGTTAAACCTCAGCTCAGTCTGGTTTTATTGGTAGAAAAATGTGGTAAAGTTTTATTTCTTTCGACAGAGGATGTCTGCACTTCTAGTGACAGAAAACCCTGCAGTGTGCAGAGGGAGAAGATGAAGCATTCCTCCTCGTGTTGCTCTGCTCCTGGACTCAGATCTTTTTATTTCCACTGTTTTTGATGGAGAAATAATTGACCTTTTAAAGTGACGCAGTTTAAGAGCTGCTGAATGGATTCCTGCAGCCTGACAGACATGAGCTGAGATGAATCTCTTGCCGACTGTTTGGAGATGTTCGACCATGTTTCTCATTTTTTCCATTCAGGGTGAGTTACAGCTCGTTGCTGTCTGGTTTYTGTTTCTTCTTCATATTATCTAGTCTTATTCAGTGGTTTGGAGTTTAAATCCTGCTGCTGCTCTCACAACAGTTTGCTCTGCTTTTCCAGTTTCCAGTTTCAGTTCTTTATTCATTTCATTAAAAACAAAACAAATAATTTTATATTCAATAAAAAGAAAAACATAAAAAGAAAACGAGAGAAAACACACACACGTATGTATATACGTACTCACCGGCCACTTTATTAGGTACACCTGTCCAACTGCTCGTTAACACTTAATTTCTAATCAGCCAATCACATGGCG